CAAATCGGGTAGCTTACAGGATTTCAGATATCAATGTTTTGTAGCAGGACCAGTTTAGCTCCGCACGCAACCGCGCGCATCAAATGGCGGGCTTCAGTGAAACTGGACAACTTGCAGAATGTTAGGTAACGTAACAGAGAAACTAACAGTAAAATGTTTTGGAAGATGTGTCCCATGAAGTTCAAAGGTCGTCCAATTTGCTGGAGGTTGTCGCGTAATACGCGCAGTAGCATGCGGAATGAAAATTGCACTTATCATGACTTCGAAAACATTTAGCATTGATATCGAGCTCGGGCGATTTAGCGGTTTATAGAATTCCCACAATTGAAGAATCGGTGTGTAAGTGGAATATAACCAATCAATCAGCATCTACCGAGCTATGATGGAAATTGGAAATATGATTTTATTCGCTATTAGTCCAAGGTCCAGATAGTTGAGCAGCTCAACTTTCTTTGCTTCTTTGGATGAAAGGATAGGAATGGAACATATTCACTTGCTAGGGGCCTGGTTTAGTTTAACTGAGTGCAAAATGCCAATTTCGCTCATTAATCAGACAGTTGCCGTCAATCCATTTGCTGTCCACATTCAATCCTATACCACACCGCCACCTTGTTCCCGTCCCATTCCTTTACCACATGTGAAAGCCAAGGTTTCAATGTCACCGCGAGGGCCGCAACGAAACTGGTGGTATCCACACTTTGACGCCCCTTATCAGTTCTTATCAGTTGCTACCACATTCTTCAATCAACTTCTTGGTCCCCGCCTCACCCCACATATCATATATGAGTGCAAACTCTCCACCATCAACGCGAACGGTGTAACGAAATTGGTGACATCAACATTTCGACGCGACTATACGAACGTAGCGTTATCAGCTTCTATCAGTAGTTATCACTTCCCGCCACCACTCATCAGTGTTCACGCCCGACCCCCTATATATCCTAGAAGTTTGAGCGCTCTGGGTCCAAAGGGAGCGAAGTTATGAATTTCCGGTCAGACACACACACACACAACCGCTTAGCCGATTATATATATAGGATGATTAAAAGAATGAGCTACGTTCACAGAAAGGCGATTCCTGTTCGGTCGGCGATGATGAGTATGCCCTACGCTTAGCGCGGTGCAAATAAAAAATTGTTATAAAGCAGCAACGTTTTTTCCCCTTTTTACTAGAGCATCTGTCATTTTTCGACCTTTCCTCAATTTTTCTGCATCTTCATTTAAACTTCCGTGAAATTTTCTTGCATTCAGAGTTTCTTGAATTAGTGTAGGGGATCAAGACGATTAATCGTATGACAAGCGATTTGTGTTCGACATTTCTTCATTTGTTCGACTTGTGTATTGTATTTTAAAAAAAGGTTCTAAGCATGGCTCCTCTGTGTAGTAATTCGAGAGCGATGCTGAAAGAACTCCCTTCGTTCTACCCTCACCTTCTACTTTGCGAGTTCTCTTGCTACCAGTTTCATTTGTGGTTGGTTTCGTTAATTCCCGTGGAAAAAAAAGACCAACACGAGAAATACTTCATTGATTATAGACACCATACCAATCGTAACAACACAATGTTTGTCATAGCATTCCTGAATATGTACTGCAATGAGAATAGCTTCTGAAAGAAACTCTGACAGACTCCATCAATGTGGCAATCCAAATCCGTCATGCATGTAGATGGGTTTGGGAGATTCGTAGTTAAGCTTCCTGAAATTGTAAATAAAATTATGATAATATTCTACTTGGTTAACGGATACTGCTACACTATTCTTGTGAGAAGGCGTGATTGGCGATTATTCTTGAAAGGGAACTGTCCTGAATTGAGCACAATTTGGATTTGACATATACCATTATATCGGATCATTTATACAAGAGCAGTGTTTAAAAACAAGACTTCACTTTGTCGATGATGTGGAGAAATGCTACGCAAAAAATCACTGCCATAAATGTTCACGATCAAGAATAGATGAGATACACTGAATTCCGCTAAGGATGTATTGGTTGTTCGGAAAGTAATGCGGGTTTTCAACCTCTATTTTTGAAGAAGCATATCTCCACTCAAATTCAACATTTTCGATCGTAACAAAAACTATTCAAAACTACATATTTTTCTTAACAAGATGCACACTCAACTGTCCCGCCCATGTGACAATGAGCGCTTCTGTAGGCGATGAAATCATCGAACGTCGTTTCCAGATCACTTTGAACACTGAAGTATTTCTTGCTCAAGAAGCTGTCGGGATGGTTGGAAAAAGTGTTATTGGTGAGCGAGAGGTCCATGAGTACGACGTGTTGAGCAAAGCTTCGTATGCCAGTTTGTCCAATCTTTGCGAGGTCGTTTATGGGACATGTGGCTGAGCGCCACCATGAAGGAGGGTTGTTTCATTTCTCTCGGTTGACGAAGTTGGTGTTTCTAGAGCATCTCATCGGTATGCTGGAGAGACATTGGTGTTGTGTCAAATTCACCTGGTTCCCAAGAGGTGTGGTGCATCAGTCCCGTGGGAGACCGCCGAATGTTCAGCTCAACATTGACCTACTACAATTTCGGCTTTAGATAACTTTTTGAAGATTCATCGCGGTCCAGCTTGTGAAGGGATGGCTTGCTATATTCGTGAACAGTCCATTTTCCATTTTAGATTGCAATGCTTTCCTAATATTCGTGGTTTTCGTTACGTAAAATGGGTGGAAACGACACCTTAGGAATACGGTTTTGCTGCTGCATCGGGTAGCCAATGCGGTAGCCATCTGTTCAGCTTTTTCACCCCAATTATCTTCATGAGACACAATCTTTTCAATATACTTACTCCCAGTCCTACTGCTAACTATAGTGCAGTTGGTCCGAAACCATCTTCTACGGGAACCTTTAGAAGGCCGTCGTTAACAGCGGAATCATGCTCATGACTCCCCTCACCTTCACGATGGAATTCATTGAGACCAAAATGTTGGAGCCGATGTTGTGCTGTGCTTTTATTAGTGCTTCCTTGGCCCCTTCCTTCAGTGTTATTTCGACTGGTCTACGAAGCACTACCTCAGAGTTTCAGCACATCGAAGTAAACTTGCCAAAATCGCTGTCTTGACACCTTTATTTCAAATCTATAAAAACCCCGAAATAGCAAGCCATATTGAAACTCAAATACACTAAAGGAAGATACAATAGGCTTGCCAATGATATATAGGGCTTCAGGTCTCGAATGAAATATCAGTATAAAAATATTTCAGAATGTATGGCATCTCGAAACCCGCATTACTTTCCGAACAACCATAACCCTGTAAAGGGAATGGGCGCCAGAATGGATTTGTGTATAGACGCTAAAGAAATCCTTTCTTCAAGCCTTAACCAGTCAGCTTTGAAGGTGCCCATCTACAAGAGTTTTTTCCAAATCTCGCGCAGATTTATAATGGATGCGATCTTTCTGTTTTTGTTCATCTCGTATAGAGCTCATTTGTAACTGTCCTCAACACCTGACTCACCTGCAGCTCAAGAGGGCAAATTGATAACAGTTTGGAGCAATATCCGCCTTATCTATAAGCTTCATCTCAGCTCCGCACTTATACAGTGTCAATTGTGGTCAGCGACTCTCAAATTTCAGTTATCTTCTTCCCTTTGTCGTCAGACCACTATCCACTCATTTATCTCTCACACATTCCTTGCCACGGTTGTATGTGCAATAAAGTTCGAGTGTTAAGAGGTAGAGAGAGGGACAGGGGAATGACCCGCGTGGCAAGAAAAGAAAGTACTTAGTTCCGAGCAATCTTGTCCAGGTTACGCCAATTTAGACACGCTCCGTTCAACGAGAAGTTCTAGTGGCCGCTTTTGCATCATAACAGGCCGGAGTGATTGAGAGACGAATTCGTACATGATTCGGGCAGGTTGGCTATTTTTTCTTTTTTCAGTTTCTTCTGCTGAGAACGAACTCGTTTATTGCGACACGTCTTCTTGTCTGGAACTCAATTTTATCCGCAGTCCTTCCACTTGTGGTGTGACTGCAACTGCACTAATGGCGAGTCTTACATAGTGATGTGCTCTGACAATCACATCACACACTCGACATTACACAATGACTTTATCTTCGATTAGCTGTCTGGTTTCAATCATAAATTGAAACATTACTGGTGAAAGCAATGGTGAACTTCCGGAGATGCCCCGATTTCTGAAATGACGGCCGACGGCAGGAGCTAGAGTCTGCAAGTGCCGATGAACTGACCAAAAATACTACTCCGAAAGTGAATGAAGCTAGCATGGAACACACTGCTTCGCTTGGGTTTATGAGAGTAATTTCGAATGCGGTTCATGACTGAAATATCTGTTGTCGATTACCAGCGACGAAAGAAGGCGTCAATGTTTCATGTTAGCTCAAGAAAATTACGATAAAGAAATGTGGGGCACTAATGGATTCCGAGTTTCCCCATTGCCTCCAACAATAAAAGATCAGCTCTGGATTCCTCCGCTCAGTCAAGGAGCGTGATGTTGGAGTTGTAGCTAGAAGTGGTGTATTGAAGGGTAGGTGTTCGAAAGCTCACACGTGAGAGTTGAGTAAAATCATGTGTTCCATCAACCTCCATCAAGTATAATTTCTTTTGACTCGCACACGACGTCTGCTTTCGGTTTTCCTTCTAGAAGGTGAATCATGCGCCTACCAATGTCCAACCAACATTTTTTTCCCTTCAGTCATAGTTTTCCGCCAGATACATTATTCTTAGCCAGTACGTGTGATGTTGAAACATAGCTCTTTCTTAGCGTTCTGCAGAAAAAATTCACAATTGAGCTGAGAAACAGCTAGGGATTAGGGAGCAGTTTTCTTCGTCAGAAAAGAACCGATTCCAGTAACCCTCCACTTACTTGAATAATCCATAAAATTGATTTCGCTTTCCAATTACGCGAAATGGCATGTTGAAGGCGTTCGGTAACGGACCACTCTGAAATGCATTCCGGTATCAAAAAATAGTTAACGCTGGGTGAAAGTTGTGCAAAAGGGAGAAGTGACAGGCTTGAGAGGTTTCTGCAGAAATGTAGAGAAGGTCGGTAGGATGTTAAGAAACGCACACAAAGATCCGCAACCATTCACTAAAAGCGTTGGTACGAATTTCGCAGCATTTATTCACTCGGGAAGTTTATTTGAGTTTGTGAAAAGAAACGATGGAACCTGAATTTCTGTGGAACACTATTCACAGCTTAACACTTTTTCTCTTCATTACAACGTCAATACGGTGAGATTATGAAGTGCATGAAATGCACGTTTCATCAGGGCTGTTTTTTCCGAGAATGGGGGGTCAGCAGAAAATTTATTACATACTCACCCGGATAATTCGATCGCTTTCAGCTGCTGCAACGAAGAGTAACGAAACCAGTATCGTCAGGATGAGCGCACGAAAATGCGACATTACCTTAACGAAGCAGGTGTTGATGAGACTTGTCGTGACGAAGTTTTTTTGAAAAACACTGAATCAATCAATTCAAGGAGACATTGAATTGCTAGCATCACGAGAGGAAGAGGCTTGCAGTAAAAAAAACTGCAAATGTTTTTTGTTGTGAGCTCTACGCAAATGAATATCACGAAGGCTAGCTAGAAGAAACTGTGAGCTGCAACGGCTATCGACGGAATGCTAAACTTCTAGTATACAGAGTTTTTCCCCTCTCGAGAACTCGATGATTATTTTTGAATTCTCTGCATTTGTTACGCATGGCGAGCTACAAATTTGAGCTATTTAGCCATGAATTCAATAGCTAGTCCACAAGGTCTTCTATGATTATTGCAAAAGATATTGCCCGTCATCTTTGCCGACAATCACTAGTTTTCAAGCAACTAGGTTACCAGTGGTTCTCTCCTAACAAGCGTTTCCTAACGTTGACAATTTCTCCTGTAGTTCTCTTGACAGGCTTGCCAGATATCATTACTCCTGACTAGCTATCAATTTCAAAGTGCTCGGAACTAAAATAGAACTGCCATCTCTCCGTGAACAAGACACGACCTTGAACAAACATCGCTCATCGCTTGAGCTTGCGCCATCTACAATTTGCAGTACACATAAGCCAAGGTCACGTCGTGCTTGCGCCGCCCCGTAATTCAGCTTCTTCATACTTCGAAGAAATTGTGAAGAAACGAGTCGGCACGATTTCGTAAAAGGACGAGAAAAATTGTCACAGAGTAAAAGTTTTCTAGCATGAAAATGTGGGGTATTGTCATATAAGAAATGGATAACTAGCCTCACGAGATGGTGAAGGAAAATGGCATTAATGAAACGCAGGAGGGTGCAAAACGAAGAGTGCTCGTGGAGAAGACCGCTTAAGGCGATCACTTGAGGATCGTGTTCCCTGACATATATCTTTAGCGTGGGGCAGTCCATACTTTTCAAACTTTGGCGGGTGCCCACTTAAACTCCTTGGACGCGAACTACGAAAGATGGCTCTCCGAACGCAGCATAAATCCATTCGTCTACCTGCGCCCATCGCGAGTGGTCGGATAGATCGGTTTTCTCAGAGTGATCCCGGCTTCAACCCAACAAAACAATCGACTAAGCTCGCCGTCGCAGTCTATTGCCAGGATAATGACCAGCGCAATTCAGGACAGTTATGGTATCAATCTGTTGAACAAAATTCGTGAAAATCTGGCATCAAAAGTAAAGTAGCCGAAAGACAGGAGACAGAGGTTAATGGTTTGTTATGGCATACCACAGGCCAAAAGTGTTTTCTGTCCTTGTGCGTCAAGTGCATACGGAGAAGTACATTGGGATTCCCTTGACATCGAAGCTGCCTTGTAGAAGTATACAGGATTCAAGGTCTGGAAAGAAAACCACGTGTTGTCAGCAGCGTGTTTTCGTCTTGTACTTTCATGCTGAACAACATCTAAGATGCGTGCATCTTAGAAGTTGTTCTTGTTGATCATTTTCGAAGATTTCGATTTAATCTTCAAGGGTGCAATCTGTTGCACATATCGATAAACAACATATCTGCTCCACTACGGAGCTTACACGCGAGCAAAAGACGTACTCTTGCTAAAGAGTACAAGGAGCTTGGGACCGAATGCTGCTGCATCTGCCCGTACAATCGACGAAGCCTGGGGTGATGGCACAGTTGCGGAGAGAGTGTTAAGACAGTTATGTTGATTTATCAATTATCAATTAATTTTAAATTAAATTTTATCAATTCAATGTTTTTTCAAATGACTTTTCCAATTGATTCAATTGAGTCATTGGTTGCTGTATTTGTTTGGTTTACTAGTGAACTTAAATGTGAAATGATTGTTCGGGCCGTAGTGTTGGTTAATCAATTTAATCTTTTCTTGATTATTTTTTTAATCAATTCAATTGAATCATTGGTTGCTGTGTTTGTTTGATTTTTTTAATAAACTTATTTGTGAAACGAATTTGGCGTATAATTTCCGCTCAACCTAGTAATTGGGATCACGTCAGCTCCGTTGTGTCGATACCCCCTGCCACAATTATTTTGAAGGATTTTGTTTTGATTAACTTTATACCTGTATTTTTCCAATTTTTTGCAGGAATGCTTCTAACTATTTCAAGAATCTATTCTTTATACACCATGTCACCATTCCAACAAGAGAGAACAGAACCGTTGACTTCATCTTGGCAGATGCGCACTGCATCCCTGGCGTTCCTTCTCATGCCCCCCCCCGCCAACATCGGATTACAATATTATTTCCTTCATAGTATTTTTTTATTCAAAGAGTGAAAGGGTTCCCTAAGAGATATTAGAAGAGCAGACGAGGGAAAAATTAAACATTATTTTGTGATACAAGAATGCTGGGTTGTGAACAAAACTTTCGCCCCAGGCGGGACTAGAACCCGCACCTCTCGCTTTCCGGGCAAGTGCGCTACCAGTTACGCTACCGGGGCACCATTTCATCCCAACTCAGCTCTTCATGGATGTACTTACCGCTTACTGTACTTACTAGCTTCGACCAAGCGGTAAGTGCTCTTGGTTGCGCTACATAATTTTGTTGCAGGACGATTGAAGGAGTCCTCTAGAGAAATTCTTGATCTTTCAGCGAATATGTCAGCTATTATCGTTCGAGGCAACAACCAAATTTCCACGCACAAAGATTCAGTTTCGGAAGAAAAACAGACTTTCGAAAACCGCAGTCCTTGGGAGGTCGAGTGTAGGCCTGGCGGAAGCAATGGAGCGCATTGGATGCAGAGCGTCTTAGACGACCACGTATCACGAATCGTCGGGAGGATCGGGTTAAAGTTTTCGATTTTGGAACATAGAGACGAAACGATTGATAGAATAGGATGCAGTAGAAGTGTAAGACATGCGCGCAGTCACTTAGTTGCAGTGACGCTTGAATCGAAGACCTTGACAGTAAAAATAAATGAGGAAATCTAATAAATATTACACCTACCAACCTAGTACGGCTCAAACAACTGACACAGATGAGAATAATGTGCACATTTTTGGAATATGGACATTGTTCATTTCGACTTGGAGGCAGATATTACGATGAAAAGGCACCTTATTGAAAATTAAGTTAGAGATGGTCAGTGATGTGCGAAAGAAAAAAACGAGAAAAATGGCCTAGAACCGAGAAATGGACCCCTTCCTTGCCCGTTGATTTGCGCATTGATGCGACTCTCATCGTGCTGCCCTCTTCAACGCTAACGCTCTCTCTGCTGAACGGCTAGAGACTCAGACACGGGACTATACGAGAGAGGGGGGGGGCTCGGGCCAATAGTGCGGGGAGGCCATGCGAGATCACTGGGGGTTACCCTTAGAATTTCGAATTTGTGCCGGTATGCACCCTCAGGAGGTCCGCCTTCCTCTCCATTAAGTCAGTTTCCCCATTTTCGAACTTCGTTCTTATCGTCAAATCCTCCTTTACGCGATGCCTCCGCAAGGTATGCCATTCAAGGCTGTTGGCCAGGCGAGAGTGTTTGAATCAATAATTATATCCTGAAATTATTCGAAATACCTGGAAGGGTGAACGTTTTGGAGGCGCTGTCGCTCCTGTTTTTCCTCATTTAGACTTGTGATTTACTGAGTCATCTCAAAACTGACAGCAGAATCATTTGTCGATGTCAAACTAGCAGTAACCTATGAGCCGAAGGAAAGGTAGGAGCTCAGGTAGCATCGCATAAATTTAAATATAGGCTAAAGCAGGGACTAGGGGCAATCAAGACCAAAGCACTCATAGCCTTATGAGATTTCAAGAGAGTTTTCAGCTCCCGCGTTATCAATACCGCTGTTTGGCGGAAGATCTAAACAGGAGGCAGGCTGATAACTTTCTCCTTTTATTTTCCTTCTGCTGATTGGTATTCACTAACTTCTATTATTTGTTAAAGGCATGCCTAGGATCGAGCTGATGTGGTTCTTGCACACGAACGAATGCGTTCGTGCTAGATGGGCCGGCAGTAAAGAAGGGTAAGACGATCCGTCGAAAACCCTCAGGTCAAAAGCTCACACTCATGTTCTGAAGGACTCATGACAACTCACTTCCATGAACGGTTGTACTAAGACAACAAGAGACTAAGCGCGGAGAGGAGAGAGTGAGTTGCGAGAGCGCAACAGATGAGAGGGCGCCAGACAACAGCCTGATAAAAGAAAAAAATGCAGCTGGTGCAGCTTACTTTGCAAGACCCCTGATGCTTTCGGGTGATTTCCGTGCACAAGAATGCCACATCTGCGATCGTCCTCGGGAATCTACCCTACAGGCAAAAGGCAATTGTTCGCACGACTTCTGCTTGGGTAGCGTCTTTAAGTTCCATGGCAGTTATTCCAGCAACTTTCCGTCAATTCCATTTCATTTTAACCCTTTCTTTTGAGGCAAGCGTAGCCATTTTCCGGACAGCCAAAATGTTCAAAGTGTGCTTCACTGAATGCATAAAATAAACAAATTCTTGTCTTAACCTGGACGGGGGTCTAGACCAGCTGGTAGTGTCCACTGGTCCTCACAATAAGAGCAAAAATTCAGCAAAGGACAATGCGAAGAAATTTGCCATGGCTATGATCAGGAAATTTCGATGGTCATGTAGCGGCCACAAAAAAATGCTAACTTAATTAGCATTCGTTGCAGAAGATGTCAAGGTTATTTCTATGGTAGCTATCGTGGATATGAAAAACGAGTCGTTCGAGAGGTCTCATTATTTCACACGTCAGTCTTTTTGAATGATTGTCCCTGAAAATAAAATGTCCGAGCACGTAATGATTCAGGAAAAATACATATTGTATAGCTCAAGGATTCTGTAGAGCATTCCATCCTCTGGTGCGCTGCGCTTCTAGCAAAATACCGTGTTGTGCTCCATACGATATGTAAATACGAAAACAAATCTGGACACAAAAAAAATCCAGAAACAAAGTCGCACAAAATTAGTTCTGTCAGGCTTGTGGTCGATTGTTAAGCAGTATGGGCTCACAGTCTTGTTAGGCC